TGATATACGTTTGCTTCATCGAAAATCCCACCAAAAGAATATGATATGGCAAAATGGCCAGGTTTTCCTTGAAAATTCACATCTTTCCTGTGACTCAAGAGCACTCGTGGTAATGTGGTCGAGTGGTTAGAACGTCAAGTTTCCATTCTGTACTGTCACAGTTCGACTCCCGTTGTGGGTGTTGATAAGACCGATGCGAGGTCGGAACTGCGGTCCACCCTGGATGAGAACAACTTTTGGGAATGCAAGGCTATGTGAAATTCAATGAAAGCGTCAGCTCAACTCATATGATTGTGGGAAAATTCTTTTTCTACCAGTCCTTCGTCACGTTACACGAAATAGTGTGAATACATCTCATGAAACCTTTGCCCATTTGATGGCTTTGTTGTTCTGAACAGATAAGATGACTGGTGAATAGGTGGTGGCTAGAAACAGCTTTACATGAAATGTGTACAACTTATCTTCTTCGACACATTTTCCGGATGCAGCTGCTACAAGAGTGTGTATTGAATAGGCACTGGCAGACGGTTAGGCATGACTCTCTGAACTGGCTGAAGCGACAGCAGAAGCCAGCTACGAGATAAAGTTGTTTGCTCTTCAAGACGAAGCAAGAACAGGGTTGAATGGGAGTATGAAGTTGCCCATGCTTTAGTGGAAGATACGACGCGAAATTGGGTTTCGATGAATCTTGTGAGATGACATTGTCGGGATGACTTTTATTTCGTATGCAAGTGAATGAAGAAGAGATTCGTTGGTCGAATACGATATTCATGTTTTCCCCCGAAACAAGAGAGCAAGTCTTGTGGACTGCGTTGACATGAAAATCACATAAAAGTAAAACGAGATTTATCCGTCCTCATCTGGTCAGATCGACCAAAGCATCACTTCTTCATTCACTTTCATACGCAATGAAAGTCCCCCTAACAATTGAGCTCAAAAATATAAAAATAAATAAATGTCATAAATAAATATGGATCTAATGCAGGCATGAAATGGCACATTTGGTGAAATCGTGTTATTTTTTCATTAGTTTAGAAGCCGAATCGGCTGATAGAAAAGCCAGCTAGAATATGCTGTGCTGCTTTTGCAATCCCATTTCCCTTTCATGCGAGCCGGTGAGTATGAGGGAGCGGTAAGTGCCCAAAATAATGAGCTCAAGTTTGTCACTCACAGCAATTAAGCGCTCACGTCGAGCCGTTTCGTTGGTCAAATTCGGCCACCATGTGTAGCGCATGTACAACTCTTCGGCAGTGTTGTTGAACCGGAAAGCCTTCTGACTTCTAAGGAAGTGTGAGATGGCTTTTCGGACTAGAGCATCCGTAAGATGCTCGTGATTGAGATCAACGCCTTCCCAGGCTGAAAAAGTGAAGTAATGAGTCGACAGAGTATAGAGAAAAATGGAAAAAAACGGAACAGTTTAGACGTAAACGACAAAAATAAATATCGTAAAATTCTCTTCATTGTGGTTCAAACAGGTGGGCAAATTAATAATTGAGAAAAATCCCATCTATTAGAAGTTCATTGCTCTGAAACTCGGTCTATTCATGTCAAGAAAGAGGAGGCATATAAAATAAAATTGTAGCATGAGCTTGCATCTCGAATTCGTGAAATGTCCTTATCGGAAACAGAAAAAGAGGATTGTTTAGTGTGAAATGAAGTCCGTCCTGCCACCCTCGGATGAACCGGTGCTAAGCTTTCGTCTGTACTGCCGAGAGAGACAGCATCAGAACAAGAATGCATAGTTTACGATTAGACAAAAGATTGGCACATGTTCGGCGGTTTCCCATGGCGGTTAGCCGACGACTTGTTGGCACGATCCAACATTCTTCACTCCTCATTCGGTTTCCAACGCGACTATTTCACGAACTCTCTCCAACCAATGCTTTCTTCTACAGTGGAAGTAATGTGACAATATGTTATTGAAATATTGTTCAAAACTAATATTTTTTTTCGTATTTAACTATTGCTTCGAGACTACCAGTAAATCAGTAGTATGTGATGTATTCACCCTATTTCGTTTAATGTGATGAAGGACTGGTAAAAAATTTTCCCACAATGATATGAGTAGAGCTGACGTTTTCATTCAATTTCACATTGCCTTGATTTCTCAAAGCAAAAATGCGTTTGCTTCATCGACAATCCCACCAAAAAATAATATGATATGGCAAAAGGCCTGACCTTCCTCGAAATTCACACAAGCCCTGTGAAATTGAATGGAAACGTCAGCTCAACTCATATGATTGTGGGAAAATTCTA